AGTGAAAAATTTAGGCTGCACACAAAAATTTTAGAGCTGGTTGAATGAAAATCAATTCAAGGCTAATTTAAGACACTTCTAAGAAAAATGCTGAGTTTACAAGCCAAAACAGAAAATGACCACTGTCACAATTCAGCTTAAAGAAATGATTGATTCTTTTCTCTGCCTCATTTCCGTGGTTGGAGCATGTCTGTGGGTGTAAAATCACATCAGTGACTCTCAACATTGAGTCCTCAGTGTTTACAAGGTCAAGGGCATATGTTAAAATTACACCAATCAGCATCATGTTGCTAAACTTCTTTTTTAAGGTAGGGAATAGCACCTCTGAATAGGATTATTTAACTAAGACATGTCATAAATTACACACATACAAAAAAGGACAAAGTGAGAGAATGTGAAGAGGTTGGTGAAGACCCAGTGCCATAATTTAGAACAAGAATAGAGAAAGATGGGCTACAAATAGGAGGGGAATCATCATTTCTACACTGAAAAGCAATGTAATGGTTGAGATTATTTGGGGGAAGGGAAGATGTTCATTGCATTGTTGTTACTGTTTCTCAGCGGACTATCACACTACATTAATGTTAACTTTTTCATACAAGGATTTCTGTTCATTATTTTATTACTCCTTCACTTCACATGCCATCCTACAGTTTAGATTAGTTGAAGATAGTTGTGCCAATATTGGGAACTGCAGGGATTGTAAAAGTCCTTCTGTTATAATTCTGTGGTGTAGGCTAACACCAGTTGAATCTCCAAAACTACCTATCATTTCCTTATTCCTATTTCAGTTGCCATATAATTGTTGCCCAGGTGAATCACGTTTTTAGTCATGCTTTCTATTTATTTTTACTGATTTTGCTCAGAAGTTAAAGCATTAGTCTTACCTCAGAGTTTCACTCTGAGATGTGAACACACTTTATGATTGGTCTTTAGGGGAGAGAGTGAAGCAAGCAATGGAGAAAAGCACATTGGATTCTTTCATGTTATTCTATTGCAGCAGTCACTTCTGAGAGACTGCCAAAAACTCTAATCTCAAAAAAAAGTAACATCGACAAATATCATCAACATAGGCCTGGCTATGGTAGCACAGGGAGCTGGAGAAAATAATTCAAAATTAACATATTCAAATATCTGCAACGTTCTACTTGTAGGTAAAAGTGTTAAAGATAGTATCTCAAACAAACAAATTTCTACATTATCGAAATTTCTGCTGTTTCATATTTGTAGTACTATAAAATAACTTCATTTAGTATTTGAAATATTCCACAACAGGTTTAATGTTTTGTGCTATATTTGTTTACAAACAAGAAGGTGAATTTTTGGTAAAAGCTGCTAAATGCTGGGGTAATAACATAATCTAACTTTGACAGACTGATACTTGGTCTTTCAGTTTTGCCCTGTATTTATAAAAACTGTGTTTCCACATAATTTAAAACATCATCATCATCATCATCATGTGTCTGAATTTAAACATTTTTTTTAGGGAAAAGAAAGTGACGCTGAAAACCGTAGACTTACTCTTTGCAATTATATCTATCTCATTCATCTGTCCTGATCCCCAAATACAAATGATAGTCGTTATGCACGGTTGAAAATACTGATTAGTCATAATTATTTTTTAATATGGATGGGTGAACTACAAATTAAACTCTTGAACCTGTAAGTAAGGGAAATGAAATTGCCCTTTAAAATTTTAACCAGAAAACCAATGATATTGGATTAAAGCGGAGCCAGTCACCCAAGGATCACTGGCTCTGAGAGCAGACTTAACTCCAACACTTTGAAGGTATTAATACACGGGCAAACAGTTTCTAAGACAATGTTCTACATCTGACGCACTGGCACAGAACATATGAACAAAGCAGCCAGATTTCCTCGTGAGAGTGTGATTATGGGGCGGGTGGAACCTCATTGAAGGAGGTGGGATATTTTCTCTGGACTATGAAGAAAAACCAGGGGTCTTTTCCAGCCTCGCATAAGTGTGGTCTGTATTGTATATGTGGGACCAGGGAACAGTTTTAATCATGCTACAAGTTAGGATTAAGGGAGAAAACATGAAAAGTTAACTTCAGGTGAAATTAAAGACTGAGAAATGATGTGAGTAACGCAAAGACCTTGCCGAAGGTTATTAGCAGGAGTAAAAAGAGTGAAACACTAACAGCGATAACCGACTCACTAGCAAGTGGTGTGCATCTCCATGTAAAATATGTCCCAACTCTCTTTATCATCATTTCCCCTTTAGCCCGTGCCACCACGATCTCTCACGGGGACTAATGCCGTGGCCTGCTTCTACCCTTTCCTTCCATCCGTTTTCCTCACAGCAGTAAGAGAGAACATGGAAAACGTAAATTAGACCATGCCACTCGTCTGATCCTTTAGAACAAAATCCAAATTCCTCACAGAGGCCTTTGCACCATCCTCCTCTCACACCAATTCTCTCCTCAGCCACCATGACTTACTCCTTAACTCCTGAGAAGTTCATTCCGACCGCCTGGAATTCTCTTCCTTCGGATACTCCCAGGGTTCCCTCTTCTGCTTCATCTGGCCTCTGTTCCAATGTAAGGTCCTCAGAGAGGACTTCCATGAACACCCTACTTGAGATAGAAGCCCTCCAAACCAAACTGTTGTCTGATGCCTTACTTTACTTTTTACTTTATTGTATTTATCATTATCTGAAACTTTATATAAATACACACACACACATACAGACATATGTGTGTATGCATGCCTGTGTGTGTATATGTAAATTGTTTTTATATATATTTATATACATATTGTTTTTTTATTCTGTCTTCGTTTTTACTCTTTTATTGGCTGTCTCTTGTCTCTTCCACTGAAACATACTCTTATGAAGGCAGAGAGCTACTTTTGGTCTCGGTAGTGCTACATTAAACTAGCTGTAATTATTACTAGTTTTTTACTACTTTTCACCCACTTTATGCTAATTCAGTATAACCTTTTAATTATAATTTAAATTCTATTGAATCTTCCCCAGGGGAAAGGTACTTTCATCTAGAAATTTTTAAAAAATGCTGATTTGTTTGATAGTAATGTTGTAAATTGACAAATTACTATTTTGTCTTGTATGTATTATTCTATTAGCTTGGTTGGGGCCCTTTCTTAAGAGTGGTTCACTCTTGCAGTAGAGGTGAAGATGAAAACAGACCCTTATGTGGCCTCTTGACAGCCAACAATGTGCCTCTACCTAAGGCTGCAAGCCTTTTTTTTTTTTTAACATGAGTCCATCTTTAATATTATCACATCAACCACTTCAATTTATTCAGTTACCTATGAGTAGGAAGGAGGGAACTGTATAAAGAGATGTTTATTAATAGATGTAACTTTTTTTTCAGAGATCTTTCTTTCTGCCTTTCCTTTTTAATTTTCAACAACTTTGACTTAAACATAAGAAAGATTTCAGTTTTTAAAACTTTCAAGTAACACAATCATCCTTGAATTTAACACATGTAGGAATGTCAAAAGCCTAACCAACTGCCTCATAAAGATGAAATCTCTCAGATCTTATTAAAATTATAACACATGACTGATGGCAAAAGACTCAAGTCTGTTTGAACACACAGTTGTGTGTCATAATAGTACTTCTATTCATCACAACTACCTGAAACCAAATTAAGGCTAGGATTCCCATCAGACACAATATATAGTGACTCCATTTCTATGAAGTTGAAATTCATACGAAGAATGAAAGGTCATGCACAGGCAAACTGCAGCAGATTTCACTGAAAAATTCGAGGACTGTTTCAGCCTTCTCAATTTCTAAGAATAGTAAGGCTATTTCCTAGATCCTGACAGATTTGAAATTGCCATACCTTTTCTTGTGGCCACCTCTTATTTTTTGTAACTCAAGAAATATCTATGTCAATTTCCTGACTGAGCTCCTAGCATGTTATTGAAAGAAAAGTTATGTATTTCTTTTCATGATTTCTTTATGATTTCCTTACCCTTAAATAAGCTTCATCCTTTGCAGTGAGAGAGAATAAAACAAGGCTGTTAAGCAAGAGAAGATGTAATGGGGATCTGATGAGAATTTTGTCCTAAAACATAACTCTTACAAGTGCTTGACATATGACTTCTGATAATTTACAATTTATCCTGCTTGACAGCACTGCTGTGTCCTCATTTACACTAAAATGTATGAAAAGTGATCAAGACATAATTCCTTGAACTTCATGGTCAGTAAGTTCTGTTAAGTAATTAGCAGAGATGTAAAATAAAACAAACACACCCAGAAGGATTCTGCTATCAAGTCTCTAAAATACCAAGTGAATGTATTTAGAAAATAAAGGAACAACATTTGGATATAAATATGAAGTAGGTGGTCACAAGACATGAGAAAAACAGGGAAAATAAGGGACACCAGAAGAACTGGTGAAACTGGTCAAATCATGGATCCTACACACTTTGCTCGTGCTTTTTTTTTTTTTTTTTTTGCCCTGCTATTGGCCTGTTTTACACAGGGGTCACTGGTTGGAATCAGCTGGATTTACAAGGAGGGTTCTTCCACTTCCTGGGGAAAAGAGGTAAACATTTCCAATATTATATTAAAGATATTAATATTAAAGAAAAACTGAAACAAGTCACATAATCTATAATAATAAGAATGTTTATGTTAAATTTATACAGTGCTGTATGTCAATTATATCTCAATAAAATGGGAATGGAATAAAAGAATGCAGGTTTAGGCATCAGTCAAACACAAATTTGAATTTCATTTATTAGGTGGATTTCTGAAGACAGGTCATTTCAGCTCCCTGAAACTCAGTTACCTCGTCTGTAAAACAGAGATAATACCCATTTCACAGGTTGGTTACGAGGAAGTAATAAAACACCTGGCGCAGCCTGGAACATAGGTTCTCAGTAAACGGTGATTTGGTGGTGGTGTTATCATTATCTTATAGTTGGTGTTATTTTATTTTGGCCCATCTCTGCACTTACATCATGCAATTAAAGACAAACTGCCTAAAAGCAGGACTTACCCACAAAGAGCTGACTGTTGAGCTGTAGGAGGACATGCCCATCAGCCGGAGCAGGCTGCGTCCTTGGTGAAAGCTGATCCACTTGAACAGATGCCTCTTTCGTGTTCCTCTCAACCCTAACGTGGTGCCACTGGTTGTCGCTAAAGTGAGTGGGTGACTGCACCGAGATTTCAAAAGGCCCATTCCCCACATCGAATGAAAATGTCACGACTGCAGGAGCTGGAAATGTCAGACATGAAGATTGGTCACGTTAGTCCCCATGGTGGAGAGCTGAGTCTTCAATACACTCAGGAATAGCACCAGAGCATCAACGGTCACTAAACAGGAAGACAATGGTTTGAACTCTATGGAAGGAACCATTGATGTCGGCACAGAATAGATGTGGAATGAGACAGTAAAATACATTTGTATTTTGGGGAAAAAATGGATTCTAAGAAATTCATCACCAGAGTTCATTTTTCATGGTGATAAAAATGAAAGCTATTTAGCCAGGGCAAGAAAACTAAACAGCATCTGGCATTTTATATAAAAATAATTTTGACAGTGATTCAAAGTTTATTTAATTTCAAAAGCATGCAATATGCATTTGATAGCAAAATACTAATAGCAGTCTAAGAGGATATCAAAACAATACAGCTGGTTGATTTAATTAAGTAATTTTGAAATTAACTGAGAATTTGGATTTTTAAAAATTTTTAATTTTTTGAATTTAAAAGACTTAAGTTGGTTCTAGAGAAGACTAATAATTTCCCCAAATTATTATATATGTTGAATATCAAGTAATTTTCTTGCAAAAATGCTATCTTAATATCATAGTTTTTTTCAAAAGGACACAATGAAAAGATTCAGCTGATAAAGTAGAAACATAGTACTTTAAAAATTAGTTAAAGAATTTACTCCTAAATAGAATCCCATAGACTTCTAAGGAAAAGAAGACTTACAGCGTAGCTCTATCCGTATAAAATCAGTAATCCCCAGGTTCTCTAAAAATACCCCAGATGAAGCTGTTGTCTTAAAAAAGAAAGACACGTCTGCACTAAGTTCTCCGTGGAAAGTGGGAAAATGAAGGTATGAAGCCTCAGTATTGAATGAAGCTGAATTCCAAAATAACCCTGTTTTTTTTAAAGGGAAAAATAAAAAAGGAAAAAAAATTCATAAAATAAATGACATAATTACATTTTCTTTTTTTTTTTTTTGCAGTTTTACTCTTAAAATATTGCTAATTTACACAAACCTGCTTTTCTTTTGTCTGTTAATTATACAGTATACAAGACATGAAAACACGATTGGAGATTTTACAAGGGTTGAAATTCTGGATTCCTTCCAACATAGGAGAGGAATGATCACTGCAGTAACAGTCTGAAAGTTATATTTCATATAAGAAAAATAACCTGCAGCCTAAATACCAAAGCATTATGATAAGATCTGCCAAACATTAATAGACATTTTTTTATAACTTGAAAATGTAAACACCTACATTACTTTGAATAACAAAAACTCTACGGAAGCTCCAAGTGTTTTTTGTTCTAATACTTCTAACATACCTTACAGAGTTACACCACCAACTAATGTTTTCATTAACGGGCTTTGTGATTTCCTAAACTGAGATTGGCAGTCAAAATATTCTCATCTAATTAAAGATCAAGACACTACTTACTCTGTACTATGCTGATATTCTCATGAAAATGCTCTTTTCATTCAAAATTATCTTTTATTTTGCTTATAATAGTGAAGTAGGAAAAGCGTTCTCAAAAATTTTTTAAATGCTCAAAATAAGGAGAAAATGTTTAGAAACTGTAGTATAAAGTAAGACATCTGCAAAAATTATGTGGACTATAAAGTAAATTATAATTTCTGTCCAAATACTTCTTATTTTCACCTTCCCATTCATTTTTTTGGTTACATCTACAAGTTTCTACAAGTTTTCTTTTGAAAAAAATATTCTTGGTCTTATAAAAACAAAGCATGGAAAAGAAAATACACATGCAGTGGCATGAAGTGACGGAAGTGAAATCCAACTGCATACACGTGGTTGATGAGAAGCATTATCGGAGAAATGAACTACTGCATTGCCCCTGCCACCAGCAAGTTGTCGACACATCAAAAATAAATATACATCTTCAGTTTTAAGCAACTGCCATCATATGTACTCACAACACTGAATGAAATTCTACTAAATTACCTTCCTGGAAGAAAGACGTATTGATCCTCTGAAGATAGAACACAGGAATTTCAAAACAACGTTTTGTTATGTTAGCAGAGAACAGATACCTCGTTAAGTTAAAAGTCACGAACTTGCCTTGGCTTCTATTTGTTCCTTAGATTATAATCTGTTTTCTATAAATTCTGGATCCAAACAAATAGTGCTTACATCTATTGTATTTTTTCCTGTATTTCCTATGGACCTGATTCAAAAGTCAATCCTCAGCTCATATGTGGACAATTTTAGAACTGAGTTTATTCAGCTGCGAATATACTTAGAGGACTTTTTTTTTCCCTGCAGCCAAATGAAACTGTATATTTTCTGAGTATGTCAAACTTTGCCCTTATTTCCATTTTACAGCTATTTCTGTGCCTAGACATTTTGCTCTCTATGAAAGAGAGCAAGAAAAGCAAAATATCAAGCCAGGGGTAAATAACACATTAGTGTTCTTAAAAGTTTTTACCTGACCTATTTTTAGAAGGAATTAAATGCCTTTCTGTTGAAATGTATAAACATTAAAATAAAGCTGTAACTTTAAATTATGGAGTATTATTAAATCTTGCTCATTTGGAGTGATTACTAAGAGGAACCCTCAGAATTACTTAAAGGTCTAAATTAGATATTATTACTATAAGAACATAATATCCCACTTGTTTCATTTTTATATCACAACTAACCCAATAAAGCATTGTACAGAGGGCTTCAGGGAACTGGCTGAAACAGAGGAACAATTCTTTGAATTGCTGCTATTTTTACAATGAATGCTTCTATAGTAATGCAAACAATTTATTACCTTAGGTAGTTTAAAAACTCACACACACATAGTACCACATTTATCTAGTTAGCAAACCTGATTTTACAGAATCACAACAGGTAAAAAAATGAAGTAAGAACACTTTATTGAATTAAAAAATTGCTGCTAATTCACAACAACTATAAAGACAGGAAAAGCCAATATTTCCAAATGATAGCTCAGCTCTTTACAGACTGTGCCAGGAAGCACCCAGGAGGCTCTGGGCTGCCTCTGAGAAAGGAGGGGCAAGAAAGAGGAAGCAGAGCAGAGCCCAGCAGGCAGACACCAGCCAGAAGCGGCAGGTCTTTTGAAGAGAGGATTTCATGGCTGGGGTGGATTAAAAATCCCTAAGCTACGCCTGGAGCAGACCAGAATGCAATCACTTACTATATGAATGCTCTTTATCATCCCAACAAAATGCCATTTGCAGCAACATGGATGGACCTTGAGATTATCATATGAAGTGAAGTAAGTCAGACAGAGAAAGACAAATATCATATGATATCACTTATATGTGGAATCTATAAAATGATACAAATGAACTTATTTACCAAATAGAAACAGACGCACAGAAATAGAAAACAAATTTATAGTTACCAAAGGAGAAATGTGGGGTGGGGGAGGATAAATTAGGAGTTTGGGATTAACATATACACACTACTATATATAAAACAGATAATCAACAAGGACCTACTGTATAACACAGGGAACTGTACTCAATACTCTGTAATGGCCTATATGGGAAAAGAATCTTAAAAACAGTGGCTATATATATATATATATATATATATATATATACGTTAAAAAACCATGATGCATTATTCTAAGTAATTATTACTAATAATTAACAAAAGTAATTAATAATTAGTATATTCTCAATTACATTCAATATAGGGTACTAGAGATTTGGAAAGATTCTTTCAGGGATTCCACTTACTTATTAACTTTCCAGAATTCAAAAGAAATTGTAATGAATAACGGGATCCATATGGTTTTTTACATAGAAAAGGAAGATATACTAAGTATTTAATTCCATACATAAAGTAAAAAGAGCCCGTATAGGAAAATTAACTCAGTAGAATATTAAGATTACAAGTAATTTTTAAAATACCTGTTTTGCTAAACTTTTATTTATATCATTTATTAATGATAATGATTCTCCTTTTAAAAGTAACAGATTTATAGAGACAGAAAGTAGATTAGTTGGCTGGGAAGATGGAAGGATTGAAAGATGACAGGGGCTAAGAGGTGAAGAGTTCTTTTTAGGGTAATGAAAATGTTCTAAATTGATTACAGTAATGGTTACACAATGCTATGAATATACCAAAAGTCACTGAATAGTTCACTTTACATGGGTGAATTGCATGGGATGTGAATTATATCTCGATAAAGATGTTTAAAAAAAGGACAGTATTTGAAAACTCTGTTGTTTTTTAAGACATTGTTTTACTTTTAAAATCAAAGTGCATATGACATGCTAAAACTACCTTTCCTTCTTTTTCAAAACCACTTATATGAAGTATGATTGACATGTAAAAAGCTGTGCATATTTAGTGCATATAACCTGATGAGTTTGGTAACACTATCTTTCTTTTTTTATTAATTTAAAAAAATTTTATTTATTTATTCTTGGCGGCTTTGGGTCTTCGTTGCTGCAAGTGGGCTTTCTCTAGTTGCGGCAAGCGGGGGCTACTCTTCACTGTGGTGTGCAGGCTTCTCTTTGCGGTGGCTTCTCTTGTTGCGGAGCACGGGCTCTAGGCACGCAGGCTTCAGTAGTTGTGGCACGTGGGCTCAGTAGTTGTGGCGCACGGGCTTAGTTGCTCCGCGGCATAGTGGGATCTTCCCGGACCAGGGCTCAAACCCGTGTCCCCTGCATTGGCAGGCGGATTCTTAACCACTGCACCACCAGGGAAGCCCCCAACACTACCTTTCTTAAAAGTGAATAAAATAAAATGAAATACAGAAATGCAAAGGCAAGGGATAGTTTACTAGTCAAATGAATCTTTCTGAGCACTTAATCATTTTAAAAAGCTGGAAATATGGGTTTCTTTAATGAAAACTTTTATTTTGAGATAACTGTAGATTTTCAGGCAGTTGTATGAAATAATAAAGATTCTGTGTACCCTTTACCCAGTTTCCGACAATGATAACATCTTGCAAAATTGTGGTACAATATCACAACCAGGGTACTGGCATTGATACAGTTAAGATGCAGAACATTTCCATCACTGCAAGTATTCCTTAGGCTTCCCTCTTAAAGCCATACCCTCTTCCATCCTGCCCTCAACCCCTCCTTAACCCCGGCAACCACTAATCAGTTCTCCATTGTCATTTGAAAAATGCTCTACAAATAAAGGCATACAGTACGTAGCCTTAGAGACTGACAACTATTTCACTTACAATTACTCTCTGAAGATTCACACAGCTTGTTGTGTATGTCAGTAGTTCATTCCTTTTTACTGCTGAGTAGTATGCCATGGCATGGATGTTCCACAATTTATTTAACCATTCACCTGTTGAAAGACATCTGGGTTGCTTCCAGTTTTCAGCCATTAGAAATAAAGCTGCTATGAACATCCACGTACAGGTTTTTGTGCAAATGTAAGTTTTCAGTTCTCTGGGATAAATGCCAAGGAGTACAATCACTGACTCGTATGAGAATTGCATGCTTGTTTTTTATGAAACTGCCAAATATTTCCAGAGTGGCCATATCATTTTACATTGCCACCAGCATGTATGAGTGATCAGTTTCTCCACATACCTACCAGAATTTTGTGTTGTCACTATTTTCTTTTTTAATTTTAGCCATTCTGAAAGGTGTGTAGTGATATCTCATTGTGGTTTTAATATGCGTTTGCCCAGTGGTTAATGACTCTGAGTATTTTTTCAGGTGTTTAATTGCCACCTGTATTCCCTACTTGTTGAAATCTCTCTTCATGTCATTTACCCATTGCATTCCTGGCTTGCAGATGGTTGCATTCTCACCGTGTCCTCACATGGCCTTTCCTCCGCGCACAGGTGGAGAGAGAGAGGGCTCTCTGATGTCTCTTTGTCTTCTTATAAAGACATGAATCCAATCAGATTAGGGACCCATGCTTATGACATCATTTAACTTA